CTCTTTCCTGCCCAGGCAGGGGGTCGGACTCCATCTGTTGAAGTCCCTTCCGACCCTAGCATCTATGAAACTATAAACTCCCATCTCCCTGGCAGGTGGTGCTCAACCAGAAGTTCACGGACTGCTTCATCCTCATTTTCCTTGACTCGCACTCAGGAAAGACGGTAAGAGCTGGCTATGCTCCAGCCTGCATTGGGCGGAGGCCTAGACAGTCAGACCTTGCTCAGGCCGTGGCTGCAGCTGGGTGCCCATGGCCACTTACGAGCTGTGCTGGGGAAGGGGAGGGCATGAGGGCTCTGCCCAGCTGGGTGAAAGGGCCTGCGGCAGGTTCATGGCATTGACAAGGAAGGACAAGGGAGGCAGCTCAGGTGCATTGGGTACTGCCCCAGAGCAGGCTAGAAGCTCAGACTTGCTTCCCCTCTGAGGCGTCAGCCTTGAGCCAAGGTGTCCTGCAGCCCCGCTCAGCGCTGGCGCTGGGGGCCAGGCCGTCCCCACCTTGGCGTGCTGCATTGCTTAGTAGGCTGCTAGGCTGGGAGCCAGGGCAGCTCCTGACAGCCTGTTGCCCTGGCAGAGCCTAACGGTGGTTTTCCGGGAGCCGTTCCCCGTGCAGCCCCAGGACAGCGAGAGCCCCCTGCCACAGCTGGTGTCCACATACCATCACCTGGAGTCTGTCATCAACACCGCCTGCTTCAACCTTTGGACTGGACTGCTCTAATGCTCGTGCCAGCACCTCAGAGTGGGACACGGCCCCAGGCCAGCTCCTGCGTGCACCAGGGCTACAGTGGCAGCACGGGACTGGCAAAACCTGGGGCTGAGGGGTGCAGGGAGCCTGGCTGCCCCTCGGGCCTCAGCTACTGCCAGCCCCCTGATGTGTTCCTTGTGGCTGCAGGCTCCTGCCATTGCACGTGGACATGCAAGACGGACAGGGAACGGACATACAGAATGCAGGGAGGCCCCGAGGGTCATAGCTGCCATGCAGCAGAGCCGCTTTGGGGCCATAGACCCAGCACAGCCATGGGCATGCTGGTGAGCTGCCACCAGATGTGGTGGCTGTACCTGTCCCTGCCGCACACTTGGTGATGCGGAGCACTGCAGCTTCAGCCCAGGCCCGCACTTCCCTGGGGCTCCAGAGCGGTCGAAACACTGGAGCAGAGGCGGGAGGGCTGCCTGTGTTGCTGCCCCACCCTGTGCTGGCACCAGCAGGTTGTAGGGGCAGGCAGCCCTAGGCTGTTTCAAGGAGCAGTGCGGGGGTATCTGTACAATAAACTGCAGCAGACAGCAAGCACCTGCTTCTCCCCCACGCTTCTGCCGTGGCAGGAGCCTGGGGCCCAGAGCTTGCAGGAGCAGCCACTTGCCTCCCAGCTGGGAGGGCCAGGGCCACAGCCCTGCTCAGGACCCTGCAAACATCCACCCACCTCAGCCCTGGCTCCCTACACCCAACGAGGCGCAAGCCTGGTGGTGGGGGCAGCAGCTGGGGTAAGACTAAGCTGAGCTGCTGCTGATACAGCTCTGAAGTGGGGGCTGTGGCCAAAGCAACACTAGGTGTGGGCGCATGGACGGGCTTCCCCAGGGCAGGGAGCTGGTAGCCTGTCCTGACCCCAGCAGCCCCTCGAACACAGGCTACCAGCTGCAGCTCCAGGGCACTGCGGGAAGCAGCTCCCTGCAGCAAGGGCCAAGGGTGAAGTGGCCCAGGAGCAGAGCAGGGCTCGGATGCTGCCGAGAGTTGGCTCTGGGGCAGGGACTGGCCGGGTGGGGATAAGTGTGGCCTGGGGCTTCCTGTAGGCTCCATAGCCCCCAGGGAGGCAGCCAGGCAGCTCTGCCTGGTGGTCTGGGCCCCGCCACCCAGCACAAGTCCTCCCCCTGGCACCTGTTGTGGTAGGAACACCCCGGCTTTGCCCCCACCCCAGCCGTGCCCAGGACAAATGCTCCCGAGTCCCAGCTTTTGCTTGTGTTTTATTCTTGTGCCTGTGCCTGCAGTACGGTGGGCCTGGGCCACTGGCCACCAGCCCCTACAGGATGCTGCCATTGGGCTCTAGGCCCCGGCTCTGCCAGTACTCCCGCAGCCAGCCCAGCCCTTCTGCTGTGGCCCCTGCAACAAGAAGGGGATGCACGATGGCCACGATCCCCCTCCCTGCTCCCGCCTGCTGGGCAGCGCCTCCCTCCATGCAGAGGAGAAAGGGTGGGACAGGTCTGGCTCTTGCTGCCAGCCCAAGCCCCATGCCGCGTTCCTGCCTGCACAGACCCCAGGAGCTGCTGCCCCAGCTACACGCACGTGTGCCCTCTGCCTGGGGCTTTCCACGGGACACAGGGCCCTGGGATGGGGTAGCAGCCCCCTGCACCTGGCCCACTCACCTCGCGGGGTATACTCGCACCCCACGTAGCCCGTGTAGCCCAGCGACTCCAGCTGCTGGAAGAGGTAGGGGAAGTTCACCTCCCCAGGGGTGTCAGGCTCCTGCCGCGCTGGCACCTGTGCAATCTGGATGTGACCTGTGGCAGCAGATGGGAGCAGCGATGGGGACGCTGCCATGGGTGGCATGTGGGGGCAGCCCCCACCCAGACCCTGCAGCCCTGCTGCGAAGGGGCAGCTCCCTCCTGGTCCCTTGATGTGGGGAGCCTCACCGATGAGTGGGAAGTAGGTCTCCAGGTTGCGCGTCAGGTTCCCGTCCATAATCTGGAGATGGAAGATGTCCTGCAGGCAAGAGCCGGGGGGTGGGCAGGTGCCAGGCAGGGGGACAGGTGCTCCCTGGCCGTGCCTCGCGCTGGGGCCAGCAGGGGCCACTGGGCTCCCACCCACGGGCACCGGCCCCTGGGAGCCAGGCTGGGCTGGAGGCCTGAGCCCAGACCCTGGGCAGGCGGAGCGGGATGGCTGCCCACAGCTGCCCAGTCTCGTCACGGCCCCCAGTGCCCCAGGACCAGAGGGGCAGCAGGTGACTCACCAGCTGCAGCTTCAGGTTGGGCTGTCCCACCTGCTCCAACATGGCAGCGGCTGGAGGGGAGAGGGGAGCAGGTCAGGCAGGCCCAGCCAGGGCCCGGGCCCGGGCCGTTCCCCGCCCCACGCGAGGGCAGCTGCTCACCTTGCTGGGGCGTGCTCAGGAAGTAGCGGGGATCAGTGATGCGCGTGTTGATCGGCTCCAGCAGCCCCACCATGGGCTCCTGCAGCCCGAGCCAGAGCCCCAGGTCAGGGGCTGCCCCACCATCCTCCCTCCCTCCCTCCCCCCTGCCTGCACCAGGCAGCCCTGCGGCCGGGGCTGGAGGGTTCGGGCCAGTACCTGGGCCAGGACGCCGGCCGCGTGCCGCAGGTTGTCAACGAAGGGGGCCTCCATCCCCGCAGCCAGCGCCGCCCGGTCCGCGCCCTCGGGCACCCGCCCGGCCATGATGTGGATCCTGCAGCAGG